AAACGGGGGCTGTGAAGAACATTAACCGATAGTGTTATACAGTTTATTAGTACATAATATAGTCAGAGTTGTCTATCATAAAGTACTATTAATTTTATGTGTATATTAAATATGCATTTATTATATTGGTATGATTGGTAGTAATTTGTTTTGAATTTAGCAATATAACTTCAGTAATATTTATACGAGATAAATATTTCGATTTTAATGACATTGAACATAAACAATAACGTATAATGATTTATTTCCATATTTAATTATTCAAATAATGAATCGTTATATGTAAGATTGTTTATTTAAGTTCAATAAGTTGACATGTATGGCGTAGAGTCTAGGAGAATAATAATGAATAATAAATTAATAATCTTATATAATGTATACAGCTTACCTGAAACTACCTAAACACATAAATAATACATAAGTATATAGTTTAATATGTTATTACTTTTTGTCTTACCAGTTACTATGTTAAGACTCATAAATCATAATCGACACAATCTAAATACCACATTACCACTGCCTAATAAATATACTAAGTAAAGTAGTACACAATATGATTGGAAATTTATGTCATTATATTATATTCAGTTGCAAGGCCATATCCAGAAATTTTTTTCAGAGGTGGGTCCAAAACATGTATATTGTAATTTTATTGAATTTATATGTTTTGATATTTGGTTAAAAATAAGATATGTTGAAAACATTAGGGGGGGTAACTACCCCCCACCCACCCCACAGGTACGGCAATGGTCAGTTGTGAAATTGTATTTGTATATATTATAATAATCATAGACCTATAAACTAATGGACTGCACCCATAGATTAATAACTAGTAATAAAATTACTCTATGACTGCACCTCACTCACCACCCAGCCATCAATGAGTGGCGCCAATATAAAGCCGCGTATACATGTGCGAGCCGAACCTACCGCGAACCACTCGCGAACCAATAGCTCGCAAACCGTTCGCGCCGATCCATCGATAGTCGGTTTTTTCCACGAACACTTCGCGAGCGGTTCGCGGTAGGTTCGGCTCGCACATGTATACGCGGCTTAGAGTGAGTGAGAAAGAACATATTGGGGGAATCTTGGTGGACAATCATATAAGAGAAAGAGAGAAAAAACATAATGGGGGAAATCATAGACGTATGAAACTATATAATACTGTATATCGTACCACTGACCTCTCTCTCTAAGCGCTGTCCATTAGTTTATAGGTCTATGATAATAATATATGATGTTAAAAATTTAAATATTTTTAAATTCAGCGGCCTGCGATAATGTTAATTGTTGTTTATTCCAAGCCAAACTGATATGATATTTTCATCCATGAAAGTGATATAAACCGTTTTTTTCTAGTGATATAAACCGTTTTTATTTACTGTCTGGTAATTTCTACTGCACATGCGTGTCAGTACTCGTCGCAAATTTATCATATTAATTATCACTCAATTAGCAGTGATAAAAAATGTATAATAATATGATCTAAGGTCACAGATATTAAGTACTTATAAAAGTAATAATAAAGTGTTTATATTATCTGTGCCTAAGGTTTAAACTGTCACCAGCACGGCAGCCACACCCTCTATCTATCACAGATCCGATTTGAATTCCCAGGAACGGCAGGAACCACGGTATTTGAGTATTTGAGTCACAGACACAGATTACACCGGCATCTCGGTTATCTACCGGTATCAATTGGTAGTCGGTACACCATGGGCGAGTTCATACCACCACGTCGCCAACCCACCGGAAATAAACTGTAGCTTAGCGGTCACACTGGGCCCACAATTCAGGCATAATTTCCGTAAAATGGCGAATGGCACACAGAGTCCAGACTCCCCGCCCTCACTCGCCCACCTAATAACATAACACTCACGGCGGCCGGCATTTCCATTTTCCACTGACCATTCAGATTTCAGACTTTCAGACTTCAGTCTTCAGAGCCGAACCTCAGATCTGATCGGAGCAGCAGCATTCGTCGAGTGCTGAGTGTCTTGAGTGTTGACAGTTGACACGGGCCGGTGACCGACCGAAAGTCACTGCACACTCTCCTCAAACGTCTAGACACCGCCTGTCCACCTGCACACGTCGTTTGACGAACTTGGGCCGTCTCTTCAACGACAACGCCGAAAGGAAAGCTGAAACGGACTGCAACCGTCGCGTCTTCGTTTAGTTCTTCGAGGTCGACTCTCAACAACTAATACTTAACATCAACAGGTCAATCGTAAAAGGTAAGTCGTTAATCGTGGCCGCGAGACCAGACTTGAGTGCTAAACGGACGTCGATTTTCGCTAGTTTTATAGTCGCCCGTCGTCGACGATCTAGCCGTGTTTGTCGTTCGCTGTATAGACGTGTCGCAGCGGTGATTTACAGACTCCCTCGACAGCAGTCGACAACGGTTAAGGCAGATTGCTATTTTGTTCCTTCGAGATTCTGACAAAATTCAAGTTTTTTTTTTGTTTTTGTCCGTTGTACCCAACAAACGTTTATTTATTAGAAGCATAGGTAGTGGGAATGGGACAAGTAAGTCCTTGTTACTTTATTATTATAAATAATAATATAAGAACACCACACCACCAGGATATCAAACAAGTAATATTTGTTGTCAATTCAGACTAAGTTCTTTATTTTATCCGTATTTATAACCTATTGATTTTGTCTTATTATAACGTTATTGGCTTCTGTTTTTATAATATTAAGATTTTTCCATGTTTCATTTTAATGATGTGCACACGCATAAGTAAAATGTAGATAAGAAAAAAGATAATAATATTAAACCTACTTTATGTGAAGAGAAAATGAATTGAAATATTTTGATAACTATAATAATGGTACCCATTAAACTTTATCATAAAGTTCAATATTAATCAGAATTATTTTTATGCATTTATATTTATTCTTAGTTTGAAGCACGATTATAAAGAACAGGTTAGATGTCGCCAATATTATTTGTACATGACTATCCAGTCACAACTTGTTACAGTTTACGCAGTTATAATAATATCCGCTAGGTTGGCGCTGCTAGTTAAACGGGCTATCTCATAATAAGTCTTTGATAATGTACTTTATAAATGTGTAATATCAAGTCTATAGTTATCTGCATTAAAAATTCAAATTTTAAAAGCTTAGGTATAAAAAAACTATGATTTTTAATATTTTTCAAATATCATTGTAACATTATATTAGGAGCCTTATATTAAATTTTCAAGCTTTTTTACCAAAGAAATAAAGTTTTATTGACGTTCATCGAAAAAAAAGACTAATAAGTTGGAAACTGAAAATTTTCCTAAACAGTTCAAAACAAATCAAAATATTTTGAAAATTTTGTGTATAGAAAATGCAAATATAAACAACCAGTGAAAATTGCATGCATATACGTACATTTATTTTAAAGTTACACCAAAAACCGAAATCGATTTTGTCTAAAACAAATTTTGCTTAAAAATTCGTGTTTTTCCTTAATTTTTATGTTGTTTTTAACAAAATAAATAGGAGAATTTGGGCAAATGTAAGCTATATAATCTATTCCATTTTAAATTGATGGGGCAAATGAAAATAAAGCATAATAACAATTCATTTATTTAAAATAGAGATGTATACTTAATTATTTATCAAATAAAACAATTTTTTTAAGACTATAAGGTATATTACGTAGGTAAATCAGTAATTTGTGTCCCATATTATCATATTTTACCTACATACAATAACAAGTCTTTTAAGTTCCATTAGGTATTAATAATAAGCATAAAATAAGCATTACACTTTTTTTAGGTACCTACCTATAATAATAAAATAATTAAGGAAAAATGCCCCATATACTGCTCAACAAACTATAACTATAATTTGAGATGTTTGGATGTCTGAGCACGATTTGCAACCTAGGCCCAGTCATGTAAAAAATACTTTTATTTTGTATTCGAATAATTTTTACATAAAGTATGTAAAATAGTATTCCAATAAAAAAAAAGTATTGGTATACATATTAGTATATTACATTTATTCGAATACTTTACATTTGTATAAGAGTGTAAAAACGTTCTTTTCTATTGGAATTATCACAGTATAATAAAAATCTAGCATGTCTGACTAGCAGCGCTTGGCAGTTTTATGAACTACGCGAAGCGTAACTAGTTCTGACAGCTGATACAGCGCGCAGTGCTTAACCTGTTCTTTATAATCGTGGTTTGAAGTAGACATTTTGTAATCTGAATTAAGATAAATACTACCAGCCTTAAGCAATTGTTCACCAATATGTAGTCTTATAATTAGGTACCTCTAATCTTCTACAGAATAAAAGTTTGATAAAAAATTAATAATATTTATTCTACCAACTAGGTACCAATTTTTTTTTTTCATAGAAAATAATTTGATTTACAGGCTACTTAAAATATACTTGTAGGTATAGAATTAAACTAAATCTTAGACTGGAACTAAATCATCATAAACTCAACATAATGTTCATTCTTAAGGAATTATACAAAAAAAAATTGGTTAAAACAAATAATTGTATTACAGTTTTATTCAGAGTTGTAGTAATATTAGGAATGTCAAGTTTTGAGTTTTTTCTTGACTACATGCCATTTAGGTCCATTGCCTGACTACCAACTTTCTATTCTCATTATTCTCCCGTTTCTACTTCCTACAGTGATAAGTCTATTGATAGTATCTGTTCATCGTTACCCAGGTCGTTTTGTGTCTAGTTGTTATCTTGTGGCCAAGCCAATGGGACCTTTTAACTCCTCTTGACATGACCGACCCAGCTCACTCTACTACTACTAAGAAGTATAATCTATAACTAACATTTCTCTGTACAGTTTTTCTTTTTCTCAGTTTTTCCTTATCTTCTTTTTTGATCGAATATCCTTCTAATTCCTTTCATTCAAATTTTGAACTTGTAAATAATATTTGTAAGTATTTATAAGTTTGCGCAGTTGTGCTATCCCTAGTTATAACTTTTTAAATAAATTGTATCTTATGTTACAGATATTATTTAAAATATGTCATCGTCATCAAGGTACAGGGATTCTGGTAATCCAGATTGCAAAATATATGTTGGTGATTTAGGATCATCTGCATCCAAACAAGATTTAGAAGATGCTTTTTCATATTACGGTTCAATTCGTAATGTATGGGTTGCCCGTAATCCTCCTGGTTTTGCTTTTGTTGAATTTGAAGATCCAAGAGATGCAGAAGATGCAGTTAGAGGTTTAGATGGAAGGTAATTAAAAAATTAACTAATAATTGTTATGTCCGACAAAATAATAAAGATATTATGGATATGACATAACAGTCTTATTAGTAGTAATCAAGAAGAACAATTGAGGCCAAATAAAGTATACCTATATCGAGTATCAACTATCAATATAAAAGAGCCTCAATTGCCTTCCTCTTCGGGACTGCGATCTCAAATATATTTAACATAGACATGGCCTATCCATATCTTTATTATTTATGTTGTACTCACTCTCATTATTATTATTATAATAATAAACTTGTTTTAGGAGCATTTGTGGTAGACGAGTCCGAGTTGAATTATCTAATGCTGGATCACGTAAAGGTGCTTATCGGGGAGGCCCACCTCGTCGAGGACGTCCATTCCATCCTGAAGACAAATGTTATGAATGTGGTGATAGAGGACATTATGCCCGTGATTGTAGACGTTTTAAAGGAGGGCGACGCAGGTAAATTTATTTTTATTCAAATTATTTTACATATGGCTTCACCTATTTCATTTTTTTTTTGGTGAAGTCTTCAACTGTTTGTGAACATTAAGATAAATTATGTAATGTAGATTATTGTCACAACCATTTAAATAAAGGAATTGTAAAAATGACTATAATTGGCCATTTTTGTAGGATGTTCGGCTGAGAGCGTCTCTTCTCGTAGTGTCGATCGTCGTAGAGCTCTCAACCAAAATAATATATTTTGATCTTCTACTACGAGCAATGTGTGTTAGTCGTCGGACTACGGCGCAACTATCTGTCTGTCTGCGTTTATCGATGTACTCAGCTACACTAGAACCCCATCGAGCCCAACCAACCTAATGATTTTTATTCTGATGCTCTAATTAGCTATCGGTGAACGTACACAGATATTCAGAGACAGAAAGAGTTATAAATTAGATCTACATAACGCCACTGGCTGTCTACATAGCATTACCACCGTGTCATTTTAGGAGAATGTTGAACTTCGTTTTTTTATGTGAGTCAATTGAATCACAAGAGCAGGTTGGATTATATTGATCAATGGGATAAATATTATATATTATTTTGTTTAATTAAATACTACATTCTTTAAATTCCTTAAATTAATAATAAATATAAAATAAAATATGATACTTCTAATGATAATCTCATATAAAAACATTTACCAAACATTTTTTTTAAATATATTATTCACCTTTAATCATTGGATTTTTACTTTATTTGTTAAAAAAAATACATGCTAAGTGTGCTTAATAATATACAGGAAACATTAACAACTTTTAAAAAATAATTCTGTTTTTACTTTTTAGTTTAAAATTAAATTTTTTTTTAATTTTGTATTGATATAAAAAAAAACAAATATTTTAGCTATTACTAACTATTGACTTAAATTACATATTTGGTGGTAATGATATAAATACAAATATTAAAAGGATACCACGCCCACGTGTGTTGTTACCGTCTTACAACATAAAACATTTTATGTTCACAATAATCTGAATAATCTATTTTACTTGTTTTTTTTATTTAAATTAGAGTGAATTGACATTTTATACAATTTGAAAGTAAGAAAAGGCCACTGGGAAGTATTTATAGATATTTTAAAACTACAATTTATTGTAAACATTAAGATTATTATAGATTGCTTCAAAATGAATATATCAATAAAATGCCCTGGATGATAACAGATAATATTCTTATCTTACCTTTACATTTTATAATAGGTCAATTTACTCTTAGGTGTATTTTTTAAAAAACATAGTAAAATAGAATATTATGAAAATAAAAATTGATATGTTGTAGGTTTTTTGTAACACTGATACAAAGCGGGTGTGGTGTCCTCTTAATTCTTAAAGTTGAAAAGGTAAATAGGTATTACCTATACATTTTGTTTTATGATTAAATTTTAATTTTAAAAAAAACATCAACTAAATTACATTTCCTTGGTAAATTAAATTCAAAGTTAATATTGATGATTTATGGCAGTAGTTCTCAGAAATATATTAATAATTCTATCTTGTTGATTTATATTTGACCAATTTTTAATAAATTAAAATGACACTATTAATAATTAATTTGTGCAATAAATGTTTTAAAAAGTTTTTAACTAATCAAATGAGTCTTAAATAAATTTGCTTGATATATATACATTTATTATCAATAAATTACTAAAACATTTTTAAAAATAATATTAAGTGAATTTTTAAAAAGCATTCTTCATTATTTAAAAAAAAATGTATAAATATTTTCTGTAAATAATTTATTTTGTTGTTATTATTTCCAATTTTAATATTCATAAACAGACAAATAGTGCAACCATACCAAGATCCTTTTCATACATTTTATAACAATATAGTGTTTCATAAAAGTATGTATATTACATTACAATTAAATATATATTTTTTATCTCTAGTAGTAAATTAAATTTAGATTTGCCAATTATGATTTTAATGATAAATTATTAATTTGTACATAAACCATTCTAGTGATATAATATACTTATTGTATAGGAACTGTAGAGCATAATTTTAATTTATTACTTGCGTAAAAGATTATTGTTTTTGTAAAATACCTAAAAGTGATTTTTAAGATTTGAAAATAATATTTGTTGTAAATATCAGTTTTTATAAATTCTACTGTATAACTTAAATACAATAAATCAAATTATAAAGAGTTTTATTTCTGCATACTTTTCTGTTAATTGATATTTATGTCAAATACTGCACACAAAATAATTTTGCGGATCACTTATTATTGCTGGTTATTCTGATATTGAATTATAATATTAATATTACTGTTTTTCACCCACATAAGTCAAAATTTATAATTTTATAAAATTAGCATTAATATAAAAATATTTACTTTTAATCATATTTTTTTTATCAAACTTTTTAGAAAATTATATATTTGATAATAACATTGGAATTACCAATTAAATAAAATCTTAGTTTATTAAAATTAGCAAATGTTTAATAAAATGCTTGAAGACTGAATTCTTACCAAAAATCTAGAAAGTTAGTTAATATTATTTTTTGAATATATACCTAAACTATTAATAAAATCATAACTTTTTATTTTCACTTTTTTTCTGGTTATAAAATATTCTATTTTCTATATACTTCATATGTTTATAATATTAAGTATATTAATACTTTGGGGAACTTAATTATACTTTAACATAATTATTTATTATGTAGCTAATCATTTTGTATTATGTAAAAAGGTCATATACTCCTTCTCGGTCTCGCTCACGATCATACAGCCGTAGTCGTCGTTCTCGTTCAGGTTCAAGATCTCCTTCACGTTCCCGTTCAAGGTCCGCATTAACTGGGCGTTCAGTTTCCAAGTCAAGATCTCGCAGTCGATAAAAAGAATATGTAAGTATATCATGGTTAATGGTTATTACTTCTAAATATTATGTTTGATGTCTCAAAAATTATAACCTAGAAACTAAAAAAAAAAATTTTACAGGCATTAATTTTATATCAAAGCTACATCTTGAACAACCATATGGGCGTTATGCTATATTTGCATGGATCAAATACAGACGACTTAATTACCGAGACCTATCTACTATAATATTTTTGATTTAAGATTTTAAATATCTTATAAATTGTATTTTACTTTTTTTTTTTAGTTAGAACTGTATAATAGTAAATATTAAAATTTCTCAATATGAAAATATTGTTTGCAAGTTATTATTATTCATTTTTTCAATTAGTTGTGTTTTTGCACCAAATGTATTGTACATATACTTTACACATTTTTGTATTTAAATAATATTTAATGAAATCAAAAAAAAATGGATCAAACATAATTCCTTTCAGACTAAAATAATGTTTATCAAATCAATATATGTGTTTTAAAATAATCTTGAATCACTTAGTCACTTAATCTTATTTTTAGCCAATTTCTACATTCATGCATTAAAATAAGATACATTTTTAAAACATATTAAAATCCATTTGAAGTTTGAACAAATAGTTTATTGATGGCATACTTTTTTTGTTATTGGGAGTAGATGCTTGAGTTGTATTTAAGGCTACAATCATAAACTAGTTTTTATATTGAAGACTATTTTAGAACTTAATCACAGATCAAAACACTTGATATACTCATTTTACTCATCGTTTCAATAAAATTGTGTGGTATACAAAAGAATTGACTAAATATTTTTTACCTATTCTTAAAAACTGTTTTTCATAAATATTTAGAGAAAAACTTTACATTGTAAAATATTTACTCAACGATATTTATTAAAGCTTACAATGAAACGTGTGTACTGAATACATATGATTCACCTATACAAGTAATTCTGACAAAATATGTACTTGTATGAAAAAAATAATTAGCATATAGACAGTGCGTAGTGCACCTAGAACATATTATGTGATGTTTGTTGTACCTAGCCATAATATTCAATAAAAACAATTGAATGACAGAAATTTTAAAACGATTGTTTTCACTCAATAGACAAACCAATTATCATTACTCTGTATAATATTATAATGTAGATTGCAGACAATTATCCTAAAGATTTTAAAATTTATTTAAATATCTATTGTGGAATGTCATTTGGTTGAGAAGTATACTTCCTAAGAGTTGTTAACCATATCTGTAGACTATAACACAGAAGTCGAGTAACGCAAGTCACAAAAAGCAAATTGTACAGGTGAGACGACACAAAAATATTTGTTGCAATGGACTTACAATTGTATACTTCAAAAATATTATTTTCTTTTACTTTTCTTATGTAAATTTATTACTTAACTTCTTATGTATTTATTGTATATAGGATTTACGTTTTAATACCTTTAAAACAATCACAAAAAGCATATTCTGATTATATAACTAACTCAAAATTTCAAAAAATGGACTTGTTTAGTTGACTTCTGTGGTACAGATATAACCTAAGTATATTTATTGCTTTTTAGTAAAAACATTATAAAATTAATGATAAAAGTAATAATATTATGTTACGTCTAACACAGACGTTTTTGGTTTTTAAAATAGAAGATTAATTGTAAAGAAAAATATTGGTATTTCGTTAAACCCTTTGTTCCAGTGGCGTATAATTTAGGGTATTCGAGAATCGAGGGGCCCAGTCAACCCACTTGGTTTGTGTAGTATACAGGCAATAATTTTCTAATTCAAGGTCCTTCGTAATATAAATCTATTCTTGTCTCTAGTGTTACGTTCTAGTACAATTGTGCCTATAACAAACACCAGATCTATATTATATAATTACCTACCTACCACGTTCGATATTATAATATTTACTCTTTTATGACAACTATATTGTTCATCATGTGTTAGTTGGTTGGTATTTACTATACCTATGTAAATACAATGTTTAATTTTTTTATTGACAATTATTCAGTGTCATCTGACGAGATGAATTTTTTGTCTGTTCATATTTCCGACTACAACCGTTATTTAAAAATAATATTGCATATGCGGGTATCTATACATATATACTTT